ATTTTATTGTTGTCCTTATCATTTTCAATAATGTTTCCGTCAATTATTTTTTCGAATGCATTCGTATACTGAGTCGTCAAACCGACCCAACCATGGACGTTAGTATATTGCATATTTTTTCTGATGATGGTTACAATATGAGAGTGACAGTTAAGGAAGCCAATGATTACAATTAAAATTGTAGAAAAATCAATAATTTTTTGATTTTTGACAATAAATACTCTTTGAAAAACTCAAATTATTCATTTCACTATTTGTAGTTATCATATTTCAAATTCAACCCACATTGAATGAGATATAAACTTTATCGTCAGTTCAATTTAAAATAGTTTATACCGGCAGGACCACTCCTGTATAATAAATTATTATTTTTATTTATAAATTGTTTGACAGCACGCGCACCAATATTGAATATTGATATTGAAAATGATATAGATACAGCTATTTTGACTTTTAATACTATATCTATTGATTATCGTTATTTCAAAATACTGCAAATATAGAATGGTATATTAAATAGTGCAATATTATAATATTTATGTTAAATCTAAGTTTTGAGTTAAAATTAATAAAATAATAATCGATGTGGCCTACATCGATATCGAAACTCATACTTTTTTTATAATTTTATTTCAAACAGTAAAATATTAGGAGGTTTGAGGACAATAGTACTTTATTAATTTATCAATCTATTTCTTTTGTACCTAACCTGAATAGTTCGTGCAAGCCAATATCGAGTTACAGACCAATAATTAATTTACTTTTGGAATCTGAACTGTGATTTGTGTTTCAAAAAATTTCTACATCTCACGATTTGCGCAGTATAGATGACGTATAGTCCTTTATAAGTTATTAAAGTATAATTCACATTTCACGCATACACTGATACTATAATATTAAAGTTACACAGTATAAAAACGATAAAAACTACACGGAATTACAGAATTACATTCGTCATTATAACATTATTATTGTTGTTGCGTGGTTCAAGCGTCGTGCAAAATAAGAATTTTCTTTTACTCATATCCGTAAAATTCTACACCTACCGTATCGCAAACGAACTAATAATTATTATTGTTACACGCGCAGTGTGTAGAAGGTACCGAACACGGAAATGATGCTTTATGAGCACACACGTTTCCGTCGTTGAACTCGCTCAGAATACGATACACTGCATGACGCGTGTGTACATTATTATATGTCTCGATTTCCTGAGGATGTTTTACGATATTATGTATCTTATACAATACTTTTTGATAATAAACATTTATTCAGTTTAAAAACTTTTGAGTGTGAGAGGCTGTATTGAGTTGTCGAAAAACCGCGCATTTTAAATATACAAATAAATATGAACATGTCTTAAATTTCAAAATAAGTAGCCCATGGCGTGTTTTACTTTCAAAATTAATATGTCGTTATTATTAATTTATAAGATTAAAAGTTAAATAAAAAAAAAAAATAGCCTAAAATTTATTTCGTGAGGACTTAAAATTAACTCAATTAGGTACATTGCCAATGACTGAGGTTTTTATACGAATATAATAAAATATACAAATGAAGGTTCTTTTAAATTCGGTTGCAGATGTCCGACAGTCGAAAAATGAAATGCTCAACTCATTGGTCTGGTGTTGAATATTTTATTTTTTTCGATAAAGGTTTAAGAAAACGAAACCAAAATATACCCGAATAAAAACGATTGCTTTATATTTTTAACTGGATGAAGATAAGAAATATTTATTTCAGATATCAAATTAAATAATAACAAAAAAAAAAACATAATGTTGGATGGTTTTGGAGTTTGGGGTAGATTTTTCCAAATATACTTAATAAATGTAATAATATTATCATTATGTTTATGTCAAATGGTCTAGACCTGACTAACAAACAACTCAGAAAATGCAATGAAAACTAGACAATATTTATAAGTCACTATCTATTAAACGTATTTAAAATTATTAAGATCTTTATATTTTTTTCGTTGAAATGTCTCGCTAAAAAATGCCGGTGGCCTCTTCGTGGTTGTCAATAGTATGTTTAAGTAACCGATTTAATACATTATATGACGTGTAATAATATATAGGTAGGTAACTAAAATATAACGGACAATTGTGTGCAACGCTTTCCGGTACTGTAAAAATCGGGGGGGATTTAGTGCACCACGTTGGCATTTAGATATATGGGTAAAGTCTTTATTGAAAAGCGCCTCGACCGCAAACGATGCAGTTTGTCGACTGGCTTCTTTGTAAGCAGAGTATATATTATGTACTTATGTAACAGCAATAAAGAACGTGCTTGCGAAGACTGCGATACGTCATCTGTTCGGCTGGGGACAACAATAACGACCGGGACGGTTATGATGTTATTACTATATTGTATATAATATATAAAACATAAATCGTACGTACACATATCATTATGTATGATATGAACGCCGGACGGCGACCAACGTCCGATTTGGGGTGAAAAAGTTTTTTTTTTTTTTTTATCCCCACTCGCCGAGCTCGTTTGTGTAAGCAGAGGTTCTTAGCGTGCAATACGTGCAGAATACGTATACACATAATATTATATGTACGACGATATAAGACTAGGGATTTCGTACAAATTATACGCTCCCGGCTTTTGGGGCCTGTCAGCGTTTTGGAAACGAAAGGTGGGCGGCCGGGAATTCAATTTAACTTCTGCTGTGGTCGCAATATATACAAACACACACAAACGCATACACACGTTTGTAATAATATATACATAATGTAGTACGATATTGTGTTATATACAGGGTGATTCGCAAAAAATATTCATCGTAATTTTTTCGTTTAATAATTAATTTATTCAAATTATGATCTTCAGGATATTATGATATATTTTAAAATTTTTGAGATTTTCATACTACACAGAAGTGTTCTGTGGACGATACAAGCTTTCATTTTTCAACCAAAAATTTTCTTTTGTAATATTTTTGAAAATGTTAGATGAATCACTCTGTATGTTTTAAACTGTGGCGTTGTTTAGTCCGATCTAACCAGCTTGCGATTTTTGTATGTAAATTGTGTGTAATCATGTGTCGTTATTGATATTATATACTCTATGTACGCTAATATTATATATTTTACGTATCCCCACACGCACGCACCCATACCATAACGTCCATAATATGTACGTTCACTGCTGCAGCAGCAGGACTTATATACGCCCTTTTTCCGTCGTCGTCCCCTGCTTCGTCGCCGCAGGATTTGTGTGAACAACTCCATTTTATTTCACGTCAATCCATCGCTATGTGGCTTGCTTTTAGCTATCGAACCACGTGATCTATTGTTATGTCGCGATTGCCATGTATGCGGTATAAATACGTCTGTAATAGTAATTTATTATTATTATACTCGATATAAATGTTATTTAAGTATATATTAGTGTCTTATTGAATGATTACAAAACAATAAATTAATAAAATATTTAAATGATAAAAATCAATGGGTGAAATATTTTTCTGTTTTCACATCTTTAGTTATTCTTGAATTTAATAGCATATTTAATTAGTGTAAAAATATTTATGTATTTGTATGTTATTAACCAACAACATATTCAACTCTAAAGGCTTAAAACAAAATATTGAGAGAAATATTAACTTTATTCAGTTAAAAAAAATATATATGTTGATTCATTTTTAATTGCCATAGGTTACAAATAATGAATGTTGTGTACTTTTAAATGTTTTGCTTAATCATTGTATACGGCGTAATTTAATAACAAATTAATAAAGCATAATTTTTGCTACAATCATAAATATGGTATAAACAAAATTTAACTCAATGTACTATTTTTCATAATAAATATAAAAAGCTAGTAAATAATGAAGTATGGTAACTTTAAGTATATAGTAAATTTGTTAAGTTTATTACAAATTAAATAAACGTAATTTTTAATGTTTTAACTAGTTAATGTCTACCCACCTCAAGCTACTGATTGATTGATAGGTTAAAAATTTTATGAAATTTTATTTTACGTTAATTACAAAGATATTACACAAAATAAATAATATATATAATGCAATGAAGAGTTATTAATCTTATTTAACAGTTACAATTTAACGTAATTTATGTCAAAGAATAGAATGATATGTTGATAATCACCATGTATAACTTAAAAAAAAAAATTATAAGAGCACTATTCTTTATCAAACATAATTTAAATTTTTTTGAAATTAACGTAAATTTATTAACAAAATAAATAAATACATTCTAAAAATGATAACAAAATTAAGAGAAAATTATTGTACCCATACAAATAAATTAAATAGTATGATTAAGAAATGCTCATAAATTTTAGCTTAAAAATTAAAAAAAAAAAAATAAATAAAAGAATGATTAATAAACATAATTAACATTTTATAAGCTTATACTCAAAGATCAAATATTTATATTAATACTAAAACTAACAATACAAAATTGTTTCTGTTAAGCCTAAATTTGCTATATTACATTATCTAGATTTATATATACATAGTTTTTATAAAAAAAAAAATGTTATTTTAGTTTAAAAATATGAAATAAAATAAGTGAATATCTATTGAAGCGAATATTTGTCTTTTATATAAATGGTCGATGTCACTCAAATAGTTAAAATTTATAAATTTTGAGTTAATCAGTATTACAATTAATTTATATTCGGTGTATAAAGTTTAATAACTCAGAAATCACTCGTTTAAATATCAATAAAGCTGCATCAACACAACATTAAAAAAAAAAAAAAAAAAAAAAGAATTCATCATATTAAAAATTTAGATACGTACCTAAACACGATGGTAAAAAGACATGTTACGGTACTCATTAATTCTTAAATGGAATTAAAAACCTAAGCATTTAGAAATATATTCTTTAAGTACTTAGACTGCAGGTATTTTTCAAAACAATCACGAGTGAGCAAAGATCATGCCTGGCGAATTAATCTTGCGCTACTACGTTTGTGTTTAGCCCTACATAATAATTAATCGACCTTCCGTTTTGCAGGAGGATGTTCCCGACTGTCCGTGTATCGTTCATGGGGTTGCGGTCGGACCAGCGGTACGCTGTGCTCATGGACATCGTGCCGGTGGACAACAAGCGTTACCGTTACGCATACCACCGGTCTTCGTGGCTGGTGGCCGGCAAGGCAGACCCACCCGCTCCGCACAGGCTGTACACGCACCCCGACTCGCCGTTCACGGGCGATCAACTGCGCAAGCAGGTCGTGTCATTCGAGAAGGTAAAGCTCACCAACAACGAGATGGACAAACATGGACACGTGAGTAATCTTCCTCTATTTCAACAACTATTCTTACCAAGTGCTAATAATATATATATATATATATATGTGTGTGTATATAAATATATTATAATGCTTTAATGTAGGTACTTAGTAGGTATTGCGTTTAGTTTGAAATTGGAAAAGTTCAGTAAGGATTTGATGAGTGCTTAGAGAGTTTATCTAGTAACAAATAAGTAGACCTATATACATACGGGCACGAAATAGTTCATCCGCATGCCTAAGAAATAACTACTATTATATATTAAGCGGTATTATCGAAATAAATCCGATCGACGAGGATAATATTTAATTTAAATTCTCAAATAAATTAATTTTTAATTCAAAATCATGTTTAAATCAAGTATCTATAGTTAATTGTTTTATAATTCATTATTTTATTTTAAAATTTTGTACAAATAAAGTATGACTAACTAACTGAAATTCAGTAAAAAAATGTAAAAGTGAAGCCATTTTTATAAAATTATAATTATTTGGAATTGGTACATTCTGTACCATAGTGTGAGGAAAGCCCCCGCGTTACTATTTAATTTGATTAAACAAAAAAATAAGCATTGTTAACTTTTGTTAAAAAAAATAAAGACAGAATATGTTAAAATACTAATTATGATTATAAAATCGACACAAAAGTAGTTTGATGATTACTAAAGTATATGTGTAAAAAATAATTTTTAGAACCTTGTCAATATTTATGAACATTATACACTTTTATACTTTTATTATATATATGTAGTTTTGTAACTATTTGAATCTGAATGTGATAGACGAGTGATTTTAAGATCAACTCATATTTTTCATTTGTGGTTTAAACTAAGATTTTAAGTTCAGTCTCTTATTCTGTATTTATCCTTATGTTAATTTATACCTTTTATAAACATTTTCAAAATAATATTTACTTTAAACAATTATTTTCATAATGATTCACTTGCCATTTACCGCGACAATAACGATTACAGAAAACCATTAGTAATTAGTAATTAAGCGCGATTATTGGACGAGTAAGCGATTTTTTTCATCCACGTTAATTCATCATTTGAATTTATCGGTTTCGAGGTGGTCCAATAAAACTAATTCTTCTCGGCCCACAATACAAAAACAATTATACGCGGTTTCCCTCTCGACCGCGGCCCGTGTTTGTATTTGAGTCGATATATCATATTTTAATATTATGCATAATACAATTATAAACGGCTCGCCCTGAGCGATTAAAATATCACTTTATATATTATTATTATTATTATTATTTTATTGTTATTATTAATATTATTCAATCCAACCGTTTTTAGTGTGACATATTATTTTATTATATATTGTTGTCGTATCGTACGGCGTCTAAACGAAAACCGCATATGCCATGTAGTGAGCGGGAGAGCTGCAGTTAGTCATCGCGCCCGTAAAATTAGCCGCGGAGGGAGGTTTTAATCCGCGCGGACGCCCTCCGTTGCGTTAAACAAACATCGCTACTACCACCGCGTATACCACACATATTAAAATAATTCATTAAAATGCGTACAACATGCGTGTGTGCGTAACAGAGGCGCAGTGTTTTTTTTATTTTCGAGTCATAATATGATGCTATTTATTAATGTCCCGCCAATAACGGCACTAATCGTGTTTTTACAAAAGGCGCACGAGTGTCAATTATAATTGCATACATTATAATATTATTATAAGAACGGAACACAATCATTGCTATTGCATGATGCGCTGCAGTTGTTGCAGTTACGGTTCGTCTGGCGTAAAAATGTGATAGCTCTTAATAACTCTTATACGTCTTGTGTGTGGTACGAGTTTTTCAGTTCATCGATCATTGTTTTGTGCGATTTAGATATCGTAGATCATCAAAAACGGTTATCTTGGGTACATAGATTTTTGTTTATGAATGGGTATTTGAGAAAATCTCATAGATACATCCGTTTCTTCTATAAAATATGTCAATAGCAGCCTTGTAATTTTCTGCATTAGCGTAGATACTGCACTACTATAGCCCTATTGTACATACACAACACATTACACATAGACGTAGTAGGATGTACAAGTTCCGCTGTAGTTTTATATTTACTCGATCTAAAACATGAACAACCTACTATAAAGTCACACCATCGTTCTTCGGCCGCCCAGCTTAGACTATATATCGTGTAATAACATAAAAAAAAAAAAAAAAAAAAACTGAAATGGAAACATACATTTTTTTTTATTAGATACCTACTATATTTTATTAATTAACATGTATTTGAACAAAATTAATCAGCATTTATCGTCAAATTATTTCATGGTATTTCATATTATAATGATTTCACTGAAACTTTGTAAAATGTGTGCTATTGCTAATAATATTATTGAAAAATCTATTTAAAATGATTCCGAGTCTAATCTTAATGATTTTATATTTATAGCTTAATTCTTCGTTCATTTTATTTACATACATTTTGTTATAAATTTAATAAACCCGCTTAAATGCAGCTTTCCCGTGATCTAAAAAAATAAATATGAATATAACATTTATTAAGACTACTTCAATATCATATAAAAGTAAAAAATACTTATACCATTGGATTTTTATTCTGTTATAATGGCTGAAAAAATGATTAACTTAAGTTGAAATGAAGTCAGGGAACTTTAAAGTTTAAATTTCACTAAATACGTACAGCACAACAATTACGCAATGCAGTTGATTGAAATAATTAAATAGATCAAAAGTGTATGTCACAACTAAACAATATTTTATGAATTTAAAAATTACCAGAATTAAGGATTTGCAGACTCGAAGACTATTTTGATTTAGATTATGCTTTTACTATAAAAGGTCTAACGGAATCGAAGAATCGATAATCGATTTAAACACGTTGACCTAACACTTAAGTAATAAATGTTAAAGAAATAATTATACTATTTTATCTATCTAACCGACATAGTGTTGATAACTGAATGCCAATAATGTCGATGATGATGATAATAAAGAACGATTTTTGGCCCACAGCTGGTGTTGAACTCGATGCATAAGTACCAGCCACGCATACACCTCGTGAAGAGAAACAGCGAGTCAACGGCCGGACATTCTGTCGTAGACTTGGAATCCGAAGAATACAAGACATTTGTATATCCGGAAACGACGTTCACAGCTGTCACTGCATACCAGAATCAATTGGTGAGTAAAAACAGTTTAATAACGTTACATAAACGTATAGTTGAAGATACTATAATGCCAGTTAATAATATAACATTTTACATGCGTTTCTCTTGCGCGTCACAACATAGCATGGTGCTTCTGTTGACAATTTATTATATATTTTGCATTCGCAGGCTGTAGTTTAGCGGTCGATTATAGTATATTATTAGTTATTACCTATTACCTATTATTATTATTACTATTAACTATTGTGATATACAATATTATGAACATTTATTTATTGTTGTTGTTGAAAACAATAAATACATTTAAACGAAAAACGTTTTATGAATCATCTGCTGTCATACTCAAACTTGAAATTAATAAACAAGTTCAAACTATTCAAGCTGTTCTAAAATTCAAAACAGTTCAAATTCAAACATTAAATTTTTTTCGAACTCTAAACCATTCGCATTTCTGAAAAACTCAAGGTATTCGAGGGTTCAATGAGTTCGAAATCCCAGCATCCCATCCCTAATTATAATACGTATATATATAGCTGGTGATGCAGCGCATATGTTTGTTCAACACGCGCGCGTTTCGTTTTAGCTTTTGATTTGGATCAAGGGGAGAATGAGAAACAGTCATGAGAAACGGTTTGCGATTTATCACGGAGGCGGCGGACCGTTTCTAAACAGAAGACAAGACCGACCGCCGCCTCCGTTTTCCCACAGGCCAAAGCATAAGCTGTATAATGTATAGGGTATCGGTTTGTATCCTCGTAATATTATGCTCTCTCGAAAACTTTGCCTCCGTAGTCAATTTTACCTCTTGTATTAGATCTGGCCATGAATTTAAAATATATACCTGCAATATTCAATAATAATTCGATACTTTTAAGCCATTCACATAAGCTATTTAATACGTAGATTTACAGAACTCGGTTAAAAAAAAATCAAGCCAACAGTATGAGCCATTTTATTGAAACTAGTCCATATACGTATCTAAATTTGAGTGTCTTCAAAACTATTTTAAATTTAAGCAATTTTAAAGAATTATTTTTTATTAAGTCTTAATTTGTTTTTATGACTATAACATTTTTTGAGCACGTTTAGACACCTACATGGATTGTACATGAATATATAGACGATAAAAATAATCATTATTGCCAATCGATCTATTAAACAATGATTTCAAACATCAACATAAAGCTTATTAAAAATTGGAAATAAAGGCATAAAAAAAAAAAAAACAAAAGTTTAATATTTAAAAAAACATATATTTTACCCATATTATGTTTATTGCATAAAAAATATGAAAATATGGTGCTCCTATATTTTCCGGTCGCAGTTTGCGTGCACTGGGTCTGTTGATTATATATACAGCTATTGTTTCAACGTTTTTTAGGAAAACAAATATTTTAATTAGTTTGACACGAGTTTAAAAACGCATATCTATACCAATATACATACCATAAGTGGATGCACGGTGTACCAACTCGTCGAGACACACATAACATGTTATGTATGTAGTACGTTATATTTTTGTTCTTTCAGCTACTAGTATAGTGTATATAGGTAGCTGTTGTACCTGATGTATATATATAATTGTGATCGCACGTGTGCTTGAACGCCGATGGACAAGCGGAAAATGGCATTTTTTTCTCCTTCTAAATCGTCAAGTCAGGACCGATTTAGTCCAATTAGACCGCCGGTGCATTCAAGTGTGCAACAACGGACGCGAGCCATTTACGCGATAGAAAATTAAACTATAGAAACAAAAGTTATATAAAACCCGTATTACAGTATATGTTGGCGTAAATTCGCTTCTAGGACGTGAGCTATATACGATGTCAATTATACAACATAATATTATATGTATAAATGTTATTCAGTTTTTCCCGGCGCCGTAGTCCGACACAAGTGTTATTAAAGTGATCTGTCCAATCGTCATTCCGCTCGGGCGAACACTGCATACACGCACTGCAACGCCGCCCTCCTCCCATGTCACACACACATAAGTTTTTCTTCTATACTTATCGAGATACGAGAAATTCCATATCTAGACAGTATTTATGGGGTTAGAAGAGAAATGAAATATTTAATCATCTCTGAATTATATCTACGTCCACAATAATACAATAGATAACTATCTACTGAATATTATAATATTTATATGAATTGATTACTAAAATAGTAAAATGATACATAATTAGGATGAAATATTTTAATTTAAAATTGTTTTACAACAATTTTAAAAGAAAACATCTTAAAACTAGTTATTTAACAAAATATATTTTTATTTTTTGAATTCATAAATAATATAGTAATATAGTAATTTCCATAAAAAATGAATAACTTAAATATTTAAATATTATTCAATGTATAGACGTATTTCATCTACAGTTTATAAATACATAAATAGTAACAAATAAACAGTTAATTAATACTGTCTAAAATGCAATGGAAGGAGTGCGAGTTTTAAGAAAATAATGAAAATTATTTCTATTTAACGATGCGAATATTAACAAATTAAATTAATTAAAACATCAAAATTCCTTCAACTACAACAGTATGTTTAAATATTAACGTTTTGTACATATTAGTGCAATATATTTTTTTTGAATTCGAAATATTTCCTGACGCTTTCAAAAGTTCAAATGTTGAGAATTTCATTAAGTCGTGTGTTAAACACAATTCGCGTGAATTTTACTATGTCATTTTGAATAACCACAGCTACTGTCTATTATTATATTATACATATACTTAGTAGAGTGGTTTGTATTTGTAGTCGGTGAATCGTTTGGGGGAGAAACGTTTTCGATGAGGTAAAACAACTGCGGAAATGACTGACGAACGACAGTTTTAAATATTTAAGTGCAAATTGCGTGTTAGTTATATACAGTGTAACATATACACCCAATCACCGTGCCATTGTTCGAAAAGTTCGTTTGACCACGATTTGTAAATAATATAAATATAAAATACTTTAAAATTGTAGTCGTGCTGTTACGGTTACACAAAAACTATTTTATTATTTTATTAGATAATAGGTAGGTAGGTATACCTAATGTTATTATTTATTATGCGTGTCGTCAAAACCTTTTGGAAATTCTTTTGACTATTAATTATTTATTATTGTGGATTTTGTATCGTTTGCAGAAGTTTTAAATCTTTTGAAAATAATTTATATCAATAATGTTGTTACGTCTCGTTATCAATTTCTTTATATAGTCACCGAAGGAGTGGTGAATGTATTTTTCCTAAGGTATGGAACCAAATATTTTTTTTTTTTTATTTAAAAGTAAAAGAAAACTTCATAAAATTGGATTTTTGTTTTATTTGAAATTTCATAGGATTAACAATAGGTATATAAGTATCTATTATATTATAAACAACTTTATAGAATTAATTTGTTAATTTTTAAAAAGAAAAAGATAGCTAGTGCGGAGGACGTTAAATTCAAAAGTAGTTAGTAAAGTACAGCATTATAACACGCTTTCGTCGACTTGACAATGTGATATAAAGTTACACAAATTATTAAAATCTTTTATCTATACTCTTAAGTTTGTTTAGCTTTATTTTTGCTCTGATAAAAAGATTTTATGACCCATGCCTACGTAATATAGATTTAACTACATAGATACGTTTGAAATAGTTTTTTCAAGTGATGCAGTGCACGGAATGCAACTATATACTGTGACTACATTATATTTAAGTAAGTGTACCTACCTACTTACTTGCTGACAACCAATAACTAGGTTAAAATATTATAATATTAGGAGAAATGTAATCGAAAACTTTAGCACTACTACTTATAAAGAAAGTATAATACATCGATGATTTAACACATTTTATTTTTGTTACTTATCATTTTTTACAACTTACACCAGTGATAATTTTATAGAAAATGTACTCAAAACCTATTTTGTAAGCTAATTTATTAATATTACATTTTTAAAAATTATATATAAGTATGTGTGTAAAGAATGCACGAATATAAGCACTTGATGTGAAAGTAAACATATTATGAGCTCGTTGTTATTCAACTGATACCTAGACATTAATCACAACTGCAGGTTTTCGTGTGTATATTTAATTTCGACAATAATTTTCATCTCTATACGTACATAGGTACCTCAAAGTTTTCCAAATTTCGCGTGGAATAAAATGTGACGGTTATTTCGTAAGAAATGCTCGACTGAATCCTCCTCCCCCCACCAACTATTTTAATACGAAATTTGAACGAATTTGCATGAGACGGACTAATAAACTCAATAAATTGTCTCGTAAATATCAGAACAGTGTCTTTAAAGTGAAAATGTCTGTATACATAAAATGAAATCTCGTCAGGGTTGGACCCATGTGAAAATCTCTTGAAGCAAGTAAAAAAAAAAATCAAGAAAAAATTTGATAAACCATAGCCGCCTTGTAACAATTGGCCAAAGGTCGGACCGCTAGCTGCAGCGGCGGAATTAAAAGTTCTGGCGTCACCGCACTAGTCCATTTCCCGCGTTTTACGTCGTACCGGCAGGCCAAACATAATATACGCTCTCATTGTCGTAATAATAACGTCGTACGGTTATAATTAGTCTCCCTCCGGGCAACGTTGCGTTATTTCTCGGTATTTTTTCGTTTCCCCCTATGTTTCATTTCTATTGTAGTATAAATTATTTCAGATATATTGTGAATTGTTATTAAATAATTGTAATGATAAAAAAATATAATTCATACAGACGAGATGTTATAATATATAAGAGTAGAACTTATGACGTGTATGACAATAAACATTAGATCAATAAACGTATTTTAAATCTCCCGGAAAAAATAATGGCAAGATTTGTTTTACAAAATAGCACTGTACGAAAAATACACTTATTAATATATCATCTAGATTCTATATGATTTTCTGTGTTCGTTAATTCAGATTGGGACGGTTTTATCATTTTTATATTTTTTACAATAATCTTAATTTTATTTGTACTTTTTTTTATACGATTTTGGTTTTTCTTGAATTTTACAAAAATATATAATCATACT